TTTCCAGTGTTGTTTCTTGGCTGTATAACCATTACTTATACGGGCACATCTGGGTGATACTGCTATAGACTAATCAGAAGGTTTTAATTCTTAACAGCAGTCGAATTAAAGATGAGATGGCCACTAAGAGCCCTAGCCAAAGCTTAGTTTATGAATACCATTAATGTCTTCTGTAGATTAAAATTTGCAGCTACTTCTGCTAACCTGTTCCATTGACATATTCTTTAATAGTTTTAATAGTTATTTTTCTTTTTTTTTATTTTTCAAGACAGGGTTTCTCTGTGTAGCTTTGGAGCCTGTCCTGGAACTCACTTTGTAGACTAGGCTGGTCTTGAACTCACAGAGATCCGCCTGCCTCTGCTTCCTGAGTGCTGGAATTAAAGGCATGTGCCACCACTGCCTGGCAATAGTTATTTTTCTAATTGCTGGGACCAAATACCTGACAAGAAACAAGTTGGAAGTGTTTATTTTAGCGAGGGGATACAGACCACCATGGTGGAGAAGGCAGGGCAGCAGGAGAATGAAGGGGCTAGTCATAGTGTTTTCATAATAGTCAGAAAGGAGAGAGTGGGGGGTGGGGGACGAGAGGAATGCTGGCATTCAGCTCTCATTCTCCTTTCATTCACTAAAGGATTGCCCCCCGCAAGCATTCAAGTTGGTGCTACCCATATATTCAGGGTAGGTATTCCCTGATCAGTCAAACCTTTCTGAAACACATCACAGACACATTCAAAAGTGGGTTTCCATGGTGATTCTAATCCAGTCAAGTTGACAGTAAAGATTAACCATCATGCTTTCTGACATTTCAATAAAAACATAGTTTGCAAGTCTCTTGTCTTACCCATCTTGAAATTTTGCAAGTTTTGACACATTTTTATATAAGGAGATTTATATTGCTTTAAACTTTTCTCATTATTACTCTATGTACTTTGCTGTTTGAAATAATTCACGAGATGCAAATGTACTTCCAAGGTGGTGATAGTGAGGCCTTGCCAGCCTGGCCCCTTCCTCTTCCCCTGTTTCTGAGATGGGAAAATTCCAACATTCATTGTGTGTAGTCCAGGTGGCTCAGAAGCCCTTTGTATTGGGTTCTATTCAATTTGTAAGGAGTTTATGTTCCATGAATTTGCATTAAGTTTCAAATTAGACTCAATAAACCTAAATTCCAAGTGAAATTCTGTCTGATCCATTCAGCCTCTGGAGCTTGTCAGAAACTCCAGAATTGGCTTGGATTTCCCTTCTAGGATTTATGAACCTGGGCTGAACACAAGGTTCATAAAGTGATCCAGCCAGAGTCCCTTAGTCTGGATTTCAAAAGACGAGTTTTGCACATTTTTGTACATATCAAACAAGTTGTCATTGTCCACTGGATTTATGCTCTGCTCTCCCTAAATGACCTCACTACACATTGCAGATCATCGCCTTCATTGATGTGGTGGAGTGAACTGTATCCTTCCTAAGTTCTTAGGAGGAAGTTCTAATCCTCAGGACCTCAGATTCTGCTCTTGTTTGGAGTTAGGGTCTTTATAGACCTAATCAAGTTAAACTGAGGTCAATAGTGTAAGCTCCAGTCCACATGACCGATTGTCCTCAGAGGGAAATTTGGGCACAGATACACACTAGAGAACACCATGAAGCTATTAAGGCAGAGTCAGGGGTGGATGAGTCTACTAGCCTAGGAATGCCAAAGATGGCTGGCAAGCCACTAGAAGAGAAAGGCACAGGGCAGTTTTTCCCTCATAGACACCTGAGTGTACCAAGCCCATCAACCTTTGATTTTGGCCTTCTAGTTTCTAGACCTGTGAGATGATATATTTTTTGTGTTTAAGCACTCAATATATGACTCTTAGTTAAATACTCCTAGCAAACTGCTATCACGGGCAAAATAAAATTAAAATGAAGGCTTTATACTTTGACCAACTCCCCCCCCCCCCTCCGGGATTTCTCTGTGTAGTCCTGGCTGTCTTGGAATTCTGTAGACCAGGCTGGCCTCAAACTCAGAGATTCACCTGCCTCTGCCTCCCAAGTTCTGAGATTAAAGGAAGAAATGACTACTACCACCCAGCAACTAACATTTTTCTTATAGAGCTGATTTTTTAAAAAATAAGAATTCTGGGAGGTAGCCTGTTGTGGAATATTATTTTAAGGTGTGTTACATTTGTTTATGCTGTGGAATATTTGTTTAATCTTGCAAAGATGTGTTGCATACTTTTATGTTGCATTTGTTTAACTCTGTAAAGCTGTGTTACTGTGCCTGACTAAAACACCTGATTGGTCTAATAAAGAGCTGAACGGCCAATAGCTAGGCAGGAGAGAAAAATAGGTGGGGCTGCCAGGCAGAGAGAATAAATAGGAGGAGAAATCTAGGGAAGAGAGTGAGGATCGAGAAGAGGAGGAGAGGAGGACACCAGGGGCCAGCCACCTAGCCACACAGCCAGCCACAGAGTAAGAAGGAAAGAAAAATATATAGAACAAAGAAAGGTAAAAAGCCCAGGGGCAAATGTAGTTAAAGAGAAATGGGGCAATTTAACTTAGAAAAGCTGTCTAGAAATAAGCCAAGTGAAGGCCAGGCATTCAAAAAGAAAACTAAGTCTCCGTGTATTTATTTGGGAGCTGGGTGGTGGGCCCCAAAAGAGTTAAAAAACAAACAAACAAAAAAACTACAGTAACCATGAATTTCATTTTACATACAAGAATAGAGGCCAAAAGACATGACCAGGACCATACAAGTCCTTTTGCTCAACTGATACGGTGATAAAACTCTTCATTTTCTAGTACATTCCTCTGGTGCTTCCATGCTGCGGGGAAGCCCAATTATGCAGTTTCGAAAAGGTGAATACAACTCTCTAGGTTACCTGCCATTTTGTGTTCCTATGCTTTGGTGCTTGATCTGCAAATACCACTGATGTTTGTTGAACTCTGTCCAGGTACTAGTGCTGAATAGAATCATGTTTACTGTAAATTAGCAATCATTTCATCACATCCATGAATATGTCAGTCAGCAATCTGGGGAGGGTGCAGTCAGCACAATATGTCTATCTTCTCTCTGCTCCATGGTATCTGGAACCCCAGCTAGGAAGACTTGAATATTGGTGGTGAGCTGGATTACTGGGGTCTAGAAACATCCACAGGCTCTTTCATTCCTGTATCTATCTGTAGGTTTGTGGCTCACTATCGGCTGAACCTCAGTGGAGAACATGAGCTGGAACACCTAGTTCTGGCCTGGACCCTTGTAGCTGGAGTTTTCCTGCCTGGCCCACAATCAGGACAAATCTCTGTCACCCGCCAGTCCCACAGCCACTCAGACCCGACCAAGTAAACACAGAGACTTATACTGGGTACAAACTGTATGGCCGTGGCAGGCTTCTTGCTAACTGTTCTTACAGCTTAAATTAATCCATTTCCATTAATCTATACCTTGCCACATGGCTCGTGGCTTACCGGTATCTTCACATTCTGTTTCTCATCGTGGCGGCTGGCAGTGTCTCTCTGACTCAGCCTTCCACTTCCCAGCTTTATTCTCCTCCTTGTCCCGCCTACACTTCCTGCCTAGCCAATGGCCAATCAGTGTTTTATTTATTAACTAATTAGCAACACATTTGCCATACAGAACATTCCACAGTAGACCCTTGATAGTTGGCTTTCCCCATAGCCAAGTATCTGGGTCCAAAAACAGCATCCCGCGGGAACCAGACAGAAGCTGTGAGCTCTCTCTCCATTAACCAGTGTTGGAAGGACATGGTGTCACTTCCTGGAGATGTCGGAATTCACCCCAGATTCAAGAAAGGGAAACCAAACAAGCATATTTTGATGTGAGCAGAGTGAAAATGGCATTGAGGGCATGTACAAGGGGAGGCCTTGTGGCTATCTTTGAAAAACAAAACCTGTCCCCAGTCCTTGAAGTGAAGCTTTTCATGTGTTTGTGATGGCTCTCAAACTTGCTTTCATAGCTTTTGTGACTGGATATGCTCACAAGAGCATATCTAATAGAACTTCATCTCTGTTTTTCCTTAATCTAGATTTAAAAAAAAATTGTGGCTTTTAAAATGTACAGTTACTTAGAGAATGAACTATGATTTCACTAATTAAAAAAATAAAACCCACTCATTTCTTGTAAATGTATATGCTACATTAGAGAACAGCTTGTAGGAGCTGGAGTTTGAACTGAGGCCATCAAGCTTCATGGCGAGTACTTTTCCCCTGTGAGCCATCTCACTAGCCCCTTCACTAGTAATTTCATCATCTCGAATAAATCAACTCTTTCCTTTAGATTTTTGAGGCAGGACCTCACCATGTAGCCGTGGTCGGCCTCAAACTCTACGTGTTTCAAGCTCACTTCAACCTCTGTATCTTCTTGCCTCAGCATCACTGGTATTATGTCTGGCTGCATTATTTCCTCTTGATTTCAGCTTCTTTCGCACTAACAGACCTCATTCCATCAACAGTTTGTGAAGGGAAACATGCTAATATCAATAAAGTATTAGCATGATGCCTGCATCACAGTGAGCGCTGTCAACAGGCACTGCTGTTGTTGTTACCCCTGGTGGTGAAATCACAGTGCTTTTAGAATTTTTTCCTCAAGCCAGATACAAAGGTTACCTGATCTACTGTTGTGGTGTAAAACCAAACCAACCCAAGCCAACCAACCCAACCCAACCCAACAACTGGGGCTGGAGAAGGGGCCCAGCGCTTAAGAGTGGGTACTGTTCTTGCAGAGGACCAGGGTTCGATTCCCAGCACCCACTCGGGGCAGTTCAGAAGTGCCTATAACTCCAGCTCCAGGGACTCTGACACCTCCTTCTGGCATCTGCAGGCACTAAATGGAAGTGCACACATCCACACACAGACACATGCATAGACACATAATTTAAAAGGCTAACTAAAAAAGAGATAAAAACAAACAACTTAGTATTATATTGTTTTAAAATTTCAGATAACCTTACAGGAATATATCGGTGAACAAAAAAGATGATTAATGGGTGACAGTTCAGAGTGCTTACTGATCTTGCAGAGGACCCCACTTTTGCTCCCGGCACCCACACAGTGGCTGTCAACTACCCGTAACTCCAGTTGCAGCGAATCTGGTGACCTCTTTGGCCTCTGTGGGCTCCTGAAATGCAGATAATGCACCTAAACTCAGGCAAGTATACACATGCAAATAAAATGACAAATAAATAAATGATAAATAAGTGATAAATAAATAAAAAGCCAATTAAAAAGAAAACAGAATGAATTGAACTTGAACATGAAGGCTACTCTGGAGAACTGGTTTCATGAGGTTCTGCCCAAATAAAAAAAGAAGGCCAGTGAATCTGAACCTGAGAAAAGGAGGCTTTTAAAGGGTTTATTTCATACTGCAAATTCTACTGGTGTCCCCCGGGACTCCTATTCTCTCCATCCCTGGCTCCTGCACAAACAGTTCAGCCCCAGGCAGTGCCCTCCCTGCAATACTGACCATCACTTGCTCTTGTAAAACTGGGATCCTGAGTCTCGAGATTTTTTCCAGGGCCATCTATATTTTATCTTCTACATCCTTGAAGCCTTTCCCACCTTTTACAAGAAACTGAATCCCACGGAGGACATTTATCACGGTTTTTATAGGTCTGTTCAGGACAGGCTATAGGGGAAAAGAATCACAAGACGGGCATTTCACAGCCTGCTCTTGTCAGACCCTTGCCTTTGCTCTTTATCTCCTGCACACTTGGGCTGCAGAGACCAGACCTCCCAGACTCCATTAGACCCCTAGGAAGTGTGGACCTGTTTACTAACTAGAGGACCGGGCATGTAGCTCAGTGGTAGAGTGTATGCCTAGGGTCCATAGGTCTGGGATTTCAATTCCGGTAACACAACACAAAACAGTAAAAACAAAAAACTGTAGTACTAGCTAGAGAAAAGAATGATATGCAGAAATACAAGCAAAGAATTTGGGTAAATAAAAAACAATCTCCACAGGTATGAACTTTAATGTTTTTAGCCATGGAAATAAAGTTTGCCTGGACTGTGCTGAAACATGGCCACATTTCATCCTGAGATTAGCACTCTGAAGTGGCTATGTTTATTATACTTCTGTTTTTCAGAAGACTAAGGCAAAAAGTAGTCATCAAATTACATGAGAATGACATGATTTCCAACTATGAAACCTCCACTCTTAATTAGTTCTTATGTTATATCACTTTTCTGATCAGTCTGCATGTACTTTTTTTGACACAAAGCTAAGAGCCTTTCAGACAATTTTTTTGGTGGTGCTGGGGCTTGAACCCAGGGTCACAGGCATGCTAGGCTAGCACTCTTCCACTAGGTCAGACGCCCAGTGCTTGAGCAGTCTGAAGGAAGAATGTGTATACTCTGTGTTCTTCAGGGGTCACTTTCACCTTTACGGCCTGTGAGCCTCTCCATTGATAATCAATATGCTCCAAGTTCTGTCTTCTGAGGAATTTTTTTTTTTACTTACTTAAACATATTTTATTAGAGAAATCACCAATGTGCAAAAGTTACAGATGAAACAATATGTCATAAAAGATGTTCATTATGAAGATTAAACCCTCCCTAGTTTTTTTTGGGCAATCATTTTATGATACTTCTGATTAATGATTTCATCTGGGCTGTTTCAATGTTTAGCAGCCTTCATTTGTTAGTGTGGGTTATAGGTGCCATGCCTCGCTGGAATCTGACTCGTTTTGACCAGCGAATGTGAATTAAAATCAATAGGAATGTCATTAGCATCCCAATACCATGAAAGATAATATAACAATTTCTCAAGCATTCAGTTTATTAAAATTTGCTAAAGTGTGAAATATGTAGGACAAGTACTGATGTTTTAATCTTTTACCAAGGTAACAATTGAAAGCTGATTGATTCCATTCAGTAATTATAAGATCAGAATGATGGAAGATTGTAATCAAGCAGGATTCATTCCCCTACTTTGTCACTCCTCCATGCAAGATAAAATTCTCATTTGCATCATCTCTTTTATCTGAAAAGAAATCAAACTTCTATTTGCTTCACTAAGCCCATGAGGTGGATAATAGCCTTCCCGACTCTGGGAAGGATGGCGAGGCAGCCGCTGCCTACTAATATCTGAGAAGAGTAGGGCCGCCCCTCCTGAAGCCTGAGTTACCTCTGGGAGAGCTGTCAGCTTGACTGAGATCTGACGCTCCTCTACTTTTTTTACGATGATGGGTGAGGTAAGGGCTGAGTGTCAGGGTGTTACCTTCTTTAGGTTTGTCTAAGACAGCTCTTGGTAAATGTAGCTGATCAAAACATGAGTTCTGTTGTCAGCTCATGTGGTTTGTGGAGAGCTGTGGGAAACTTTTTTTTTTTTTTTTTTTTTTTAAAGAATTTCAGAAAGGCTAACAAGAAACAAAACTTCCTTTGGACATATAGAGAAACTACTGTAAGCCTACAGGTATGAAGTTGTTAGGCTATGTGTAGAAAGCTGGGAAGACCTGGGAGAGGGGAGGTGGAGAGGGGAGGAAAAGGGCTCGGTGAGGCTCATGATGTTAAGCTGAAGTCCTTGGATTTTAAATCTTGGAAGAGAAGACAGGAGAATCCTAATGGCTCATTTCTGCCATCATGTGAGCTTTGAAGACAGCTTGAAGAGTAGCTCAAATCTAGCCATCATTGCTAGGTAACCCAGAAAGGACCATCAGCCATCTTGAGAATAGTCATTTCTTGCTTGGAAAATAGAAAGAGGTCCTCTTCATTGGACGTGACTCCCCTTGTCCCTAGTGAAGTCAGATGGCCTGTTATAAGCTGGCAAAGAGCTCTGTGCGTTTGCTTCCTAACACTGTCACAGTCATGTTCGTGGGATAATTTGGCTAATTCCAGCTACCAGACTAGAAGTGTTGCTAAGACTTGGACTGAGTGTGCATGTGCCTCTCAATATGATTGACTAAATATTCCTGGTGTCTGCTATGTGCTTTCTGTCTTGAGGATCCTGATCTGAATGAGAACTCACACAGCTTGGTTAGAGAGTGTTCTTGCTTCACTAAAAAAGATGCCATCTCTTTCTTGGGTCTTCTGGTTGCTACTCTGTTGTGGGGTATTTGTATACTGTGTGAAAAATGTGTTGCTGTGATTGGTTTAATAAAAAGCTGAACAGTCAATAGCGAGGCAGGAAGTATAGGCAGGACTTCCAGGCAAAGAGAGAGGAAGTAGAAGATGGATCGAGTTGGACACACAAAATGGGAGAGAGGTAAAAGCTATGTGGCAGAATGTAGATTGATAAAAATATGGGTTAATTTAAGTTATAAGAGCCAGTGGGAAGCCGGGCGGTGGTGGCGCACGCCTTTAATCCCAGCACTTGGGAGGCAGAGCCAGGTGGATCTCTGTGAGTTCAAGGCCAGCCTGGGCTACAGAGCGAGTTCCAGGGCACCAAAACTACTACGCAGAGAAACTCTGTCTTGAAAAAAAAAAAAAGCTAGTGGGACAAACCTAAGCTAAAACCAAGCTTTCATAATAATAAGTTTCTGCGTCATTATTTATGAGCTGGCGGTCCAAAGAAAAATCCATCTACACTACTTTAGCAGCCATAAGGAGTAAGTGTCTGTAGGAACTGGTTATACAATCGTTTAGGAGTGACCTTACTACACACTCTACAAATTGACCAGAAAGTATTCGATTCTCAGAGGACCTGAATGCTTTAAAGAGGTACCTTTGACGTGCTTGAGAATGGGAAGCTGAGACTTGAGAATGTTTCTGTGGCTCAGGTGGGCGTGAACATTTGGGCGATTCTGCTCCTTGCTATACAAATATTTACTTTCATAGTGTGGTTACAGTTATTAACCTTCTCATAGACTTTCTGTGGGCAGGAGGGAATTGTGACAATTGTTTTTGGAGCCAGACAGACCTGGAACTGAATCTCAGATATAAAACTTATCAGTTATGATGTTTCACATCTGTAAACTTGGGGAAGTTGTCATGGTTTTATAGGGTCATCCTGTGGGTCAAGCACCCTATAGACCATAGTGCCTGGTACAGAGGGTCATCCTGTGGGTCAAACACACCAGAGACCATAGTGTCTGGTAGAGAGGGCCATCCCGTGGGTCAAACACACTACAGACCATAGTACCTGGTACAGAGGGTTATCCTGTGGGTCAAACATACTACAGACCATAGTGCCTGGTGCAGAGGGTCATCCTGTGGGTCAAATACACCAGAGACCATAGTGTCTGGTACAGAGCATCATCCTGTGGGTCAAACACATTACAGACTATGGTGTCTAACACATTGCTCAATGTGTAGGAGGTTCTAGTGAGACTTGTAATTGCCAAGTTGCAGAAAGTGAAAATTGGTGGCTACATAAGGAAGAAAATTCACTTAACGTTGTCAGCGAACTGTGAGATGGTGCTTAGCAAAACTGGGCAAAGCTCTCATGCTCCATGGAGAGACAATTTTAAGGAATGCTGGAGAAAGTTGAAAAATATGGGCATCAGATGATTTCTGTACTGTCCCAAGATGTGGCTTTGTTAATGGCTGACATGAAACTGGGTGAGTGCCGCAGCAGAACAAGCTGTCCGAGACGGAGGAGGAACTTAGATTATGGGGGTGTTGATCTTAAAAGGTCACTAGCAAGAAACTCGTCGTTTTCTTACCTCTATTACAACCTTTGCTTGTTCAGGGACTTCTGCATCAGCTGCAGGCTCTGCGGAGGAGAGAGAAGACAGATCAAAACACACAACCCCTGTCATGGAACAACACTTCTGTTGAAAATTCTTGGTTTGGAAAACTGGGAGGGGAGAGCCCACGTGTCTGAGGCCCTCCCTGCTCCTTAGAAGCCCCAAGAAACACTGCAAGTGGCTCATTTCGGTCTCATATTAGATTCACAGGGGAGTAAACAACAGTTGGAGGTCTGATTCTCCCATCAGACCAGTTAAATACACACTTTTAGGAAAGGGACCTGGATATTCACATTAACAAATAAAACAAAAACATGGGTAGGTGATTTGAATGTCATTGGGTTAAAAAAAAAATCTCCACTGGCCTGGTTTTCTGAGCACTTATTACACTACAGAATTCCAGGAGCTTCCCTACAGGGCAGTGGAAGAGGGAGTTAGACATGAAAGCCTTGTGTCTCTTCAGCTTTGACGTATTTGGTTGAGGCCGTTGATCTCAGGCCTTTTTCTAACATCACCTAGAATAAGGATCTCATTGTTTTTTAAACTATTAAAACCCCCAGAGGAGGTGAAGTGGAGGATTCTCGGAATGGGATGTCAAGATGTGTCATGTTAAATTCTTAAGTTTTTAGGAAATGCTGTTCGTGGATTGCTTCCCTGGGGCCCGGTGGTTTGGCAGCTTTTACACTCAGCACTTAGCTGCCCATCCCACTGGGGAGCCTGCTTCTGGGCTCAGGAGGCTGCAGACTCATTCGCAAGCTGTTGATGCCTCTTCTGAGTGGTCTCCAATCGTGTGTGGATTAACTGAGTGGCTGGAGCCCACTTCACAGCTGCAGTGGAGGAGTGTGTTAGAACTAAGACTCTAGAGACATGTAGCTCAGGGGAAGTTGAGGCCAGAGGAACCATCTGGAGATGCACATAGGCTTAGGCAGGTACACCTGCTCAGTTTAGCACATTCCCATATTCTTCAACTTCCTCTCATTTCTTCATTCATTTATTCCCATTCTGTTTTATTCTCTTTCTCTTTTCCTTCTCTTTCAAGCTTCCTTTTGACTGTGCCTCCCCCTATTTCCTCTTGTTCTTTTCTTTTCCATTTTGTGATCTTGAGGCTTGTGTCTTTAAACCTTTGTCTCAAACTCATCCCATTTGGGATTAGATAATGTTGGACAATCAGGCTGTAGTATGGAAACAATTTGAAGGAATATCTTGTGGCATCTCAGGAGAAAAGCATTGCTCACCTACAGTATGACTATTATTTGCCTAGTTAGATGAAAACAAAACCCAAACCATACCCCTGATCAATCTATTTGGAACCATGGGGCTTCAAAAAGAGAGCATTTCCTCCTACCCATATGCATCTTGTATTTGGGATAATATCGTCTCCGCTAACATTTTAGAAGGAAACTATGTCAAAGTGACATGTATTTATCCCTCATACATTACCAAACCAATTCCCATAAAAACACCCAAGGCTACAATGTAGATTGAAACATACTTCAGCTATTCCTTTGTGTTCTTTTCCTTATCCATCCTGGATCGAGAAAACGTTCAGTTACTTCTCTGTAAAGACAAAAATCTGTCTCCCGCACCCCACAGGATCTTGAGTCAAGGCTGGACTTGAACTCCTTAAGTAGTTTAGGATGACTTTGAGTTCCTGCTTCTTTGAGTTCCTCATGTGGGACGGACACATGATCCTGTACAGTATGAGACTACGGAGGGACTAATGAGTCTTTTCCCATTAAAACCCAAGAGAATGTGGGCTGTAGTCCACAAAGGAAAAAGTCAACCGAGAGTGAACTGACCCAGAAGATAAAACCTGTGGGCAGGGCTGTGGACGAATAAGTGAGAATAAATGCCAAGGGTTAAACTATGTCTTCCTCCCACAAAGATGTGTTGCCGTCCTAGCTTAGGAACTGGGGAATGTGACCTTATTGGAAACAGGACTTTGCAGATGTGTTTGGAACAGACTGAAATGAGGTTATAGAAAACTAGAGTTAGCGGTCCTCTCAAGATGGCACACATCACAATAGCAAGAGAAGAAGCCCAGAGACAAGAGGGATGTGTGAAGACACACAGATACACACACACACAGATACACACACACACACACACACACACACACACACACACACACACACACACACACACACACATGCACACACAAGTTGTGTGACCACAGACAAACCAAGAAATTCCAGGGATTGCTGGGGAATGGGAGACAAGGAATGGAGAGGAGGAGCCTTCAGAGAGAGCAGGGATTGATGATTCCTGAATCTCAGAATTTTTTAATCTCCAGAACTGTGAATGATAGATCCTGGGTGATGATTCCTGAAACTCAGAATTTTTTTTTTTAAATTGGCTAATTGTATTCTTAGGCATGAAAATGACAGAGCTAAAGAGACACCCTGCCAGTAGCAAAAACAATGGAGATCATAATTACATAAATCATAAAGGTCTGTGGTACAGGAATATATATATATATATATATATATATATATATATATATATATATATACATACATACATACATACATACATACATAGGAGGGGGAGGAAAGGGCTTATTTGGCTTACACTTCATCATCACAGTTCATCACTGAAGGAAGTTAGGGCAGGAACCTGGAGGCAGAAACCTGGAGACAGGAGCCGATGCAGAAGCCATGGAGGGTGCTGCTTACTGGCGTGCTCCCCATGGCTTGCTCAGCCTGCTTTTATTTATTTATTTATTTATTTATTTATTTATTTATTTATTTTTCTAGTATCAGCTTGATACAGTATAAATTCTTATCCAAATAGTGAAATATTTCACTGAGGCTTGCCCAGTAATTGAGTAAAACCAAAACTTATTAAAAGCCACCGTAATCCTAGGGTCCCCCCTGCTATATACCCTCCCTGGTTCTGTGGGTTGCATTCTGATTGTTCTTTGCTTTATATCTAGTATCCACTTATGAGTGAGTACATACCATGTTTGTCCTTCTGGGTATGGGTTACCTCATGCAGGATGATATTTTCTAGTTCCACCTATTTGCCTGCAAATTTCATGCTGTCATTGTTTTTCTCTGCTGAGTAGTACTCCATTGTGTACATGTACCACATTTTCTTAATCCATTCTTCAGTTGACGGGCATCTAGGTTGTTTCCAGGTTCTGGCTATTACGAATAGTGCTGCTGTGAACATAGTTGAGCATGTATCTTTGTGGTATGATTGAGCATTCCTTGGGTATATGCCCAGGAGTGGTATGGCTGGGTCTTGAGGTAGACTGATTCCCAATTTTCTGAGAAACTGCCATACTGATTTCCACAGTGGTTGTACAAGTTTGCATCCCACCAACAGTGGAGGAGTGTTCCCTTTGCTCTCCAACATAGACTGTCATTAGGAAACTCAGAATTTTTAATCTCCAGAACTGTGAACGATAAATCATGGGTGACTTAGGACATCAGATGTGCCACATGCTTTGCCATGGCAGCCCTAGAAAATTAGTGCAATGAATACACACAAAACCAAAGTGGGAAAAGGACTCTTCTTGCCTCCCTCCCTCCCTCCCTCCCTCCCTCCCTCCCTCCCTCCCTCCCTCTTTCCCTCTCCCTGCCTCCCTCCCTCTCCCTCTCTCTTCCTCCCTCCCCCCTCCCTCCCTCCCTCCCTCCCTCCCTCCCTCCCTCCCTCCCTCCCTCTTTCTCTCTCTCTCTCCCTCCCTCTCTGCCTTCTTTCCTTAAATTGCAGGGAGAATAGCAGCTGATCTAGGCCAGGGGAGCTGAGCATGGCATAACACAGGACAGAGCTGTCAAGAATTTAATATTCACAATCCTATAAACATTGATGATTGCTCTTAGCAAAATTGGGAAGTATATGTACGTGGTGGGACTGTGTGTGCAGGTGAACACGCACATATGAAGTCATCTCCCATGGCGCAAAATATATAATGCCGAAACCGAGAAGTCAAGAAGCTGCAACACAAACATCTTAGAGTTACAAGGGTAAAGAGGAGATGGGATTGCTTGGACCCATGTTTGTGGGAACAGGATTTGTAGAATGACATATACTATGTGCACAAGTAACTTTGATATGATGAGAAGTTGCTTTAGGAAGAATTCTTGAGTCCTCATGGCTCAGCAGTTAAGTGTGCATACAGCTCTTGCAGAGGTCCAGAGTTTGGTTCCCAGCGCTTGTGTGAGATGGCTCATAACCAAATGTAATGCCAACTGCAGGGGATGGAATGAGCTCTTCTGGCCTTCTCAGGAAACTGCACTTCCATTCATCACCCATTCCCCTTACATACAATTAAAAAATTAAAATAAGGGGCTGAAGAGGTGGCTCAGAAGTTTGGAGCACTGGTCCCTGTTGTAGAGGTCTCAGGTTTGATTCTCAGCACAGACCGTGCCTCACAACCATCTGCAGCCCCACTTGCAGGGAACCCAGCACCCTTTTCTGGTCTCTGCTGGCACCAGGCATACATGCAGGAAAAACATTCATGCACAGAAAATAAAAGTAAAAACGTCGTCATGTAAAGCTAAAATAAAGTAAAAGAAAGAGAAGGATTCTTAATTTTTTTTTTTTTTTTTTTTTTTTACTGTGCATTGGTGTTCTGTCTGCATGTATGTCTGTGTGAGGGTGTCAGATCTCCTAGAGCTGGAATTTCATACAGTTGTGAGCTGCCGTGTGGGTCCTCTGGAAGAGCAACCAGTGTTCTCAACCACTGAGCCATCTCTCCAGGCCTCCAAGAAGAATTCTTAAATTTATGAAATCAACTCTAGAAATAAGGAATGTGCTGACTTCAGAGACAAAGTTTGAACTTAGGTATATTTTATTTTTTTGGGGGGGATGATGGTTAATTTCTCTGTTCCCTAGGCCTGGGGAAGGGCTGGGTAAAGTTGTTCCCCAAAGTCTTCACATCTCCCCTCCTCCCACATTCGAATTCTACTTTTTTTTTGTTTGTTTGTTTTTCGAGACAGGGTTTCTCTGTGTAGCTTTGGTGCCTGTCCTGGAACTCACTCTAGCCCAGGCTGACCTCGAACTCACAGAGATCCGCCTGGCTCTGCCTCCCAAGTGCTGGGATTAAAGGTGTGCGCCACCACCGCCCGGCTCGAATTCTACTTTTATAAAAGAATAAAAGCGCCCGTTATTCTGTTTGTAATAACTGTGGTAAAACAATATGGTTCATTTAAACAAGTTTTTCTTTAAAATTGAAACTTATAAAGGTGAAACTTTGGGTAAACTCGATATTTTAGAAAAAATCTATTACATTTTACATTTGTTCATAGTGTGTCTGCTGGTGTATTCATCACAGCTCCAAAGTGGAGGTCAGAGGACAATTTGTAGGACTTGATTTTCTTCTACTATGTGGGTCCAAGGTGCCTTTATCTCCTAAACCATCTCGCTGGTCCCCGGTAAGTACGACTTCCGGGGGTGGGAGTTCCAGGAGCCTTTTTGTTTATCTAGGAATCAGTAAGCTGACCGTATTTGGCATCTTGCAGAGGCCTGGTCCAATTCTTAGTTCTCAAGGACCAACGATTCAGCCTGTACTGCCACATTTTGCCATTAGAGGGCAGTGCAGCCACGAGTGCCCAGGAAGGAGGGGGAGAAGGAGAGGATGCTTAGCACCTGGAGAGTGGGAGGAAGTGTCTCGCAGTGTTTGCACTCGAAGCATCTCAGTAGCTAGATATTTCACTGGGCACAAATGGCGTGTCCTCTTCTAAATTTTGTGCGAATCCGAAAAGGCAGTAACTTCGATCTTAATGCATGTTTTATGGTCACCTATATCGCTTTGGGCTGGAAATTTATTAGGAAGACGAAGAAAAAAGGCAAGAATAACTTTAGATGGGCACATCTCCATTTCCGCACTTTTGCTATAGGTCTGGTACATGCTCTGAAAGAGCACAGTGCCGGCTGAAATGTGCGCTGTTTCTTCTCTATTATTCTAAAATGGATGTGTTTCTCTCACGCATGGATGGACCATTTACCCCTGATTTGTATCTCTGGGACAAATCTGACTCGTTAGCGCCGTTATTTGTAAACTGCTAACCTGGTTCCCGGTGCTCTTGTAACGCTGTCTTGATGGGTTGCTGTGAAAATGTGAAGCTGCCTGTCAGGCAGGAAAAATTATGTAAAAATGATGTGGGTATAGAAAATGGAATCGACAAAATGTAATAAACTCCCCCTGGGCTGAAGAGCCGAGCTGCATGTGCAATGAAGTGCTTTAGGATTACGTCACCTTTTATATAACATCTGGCAGTGACTTTTATTTCAGAGCTAATTTGAAGAAGCCAGGAGCTTTTTTTTTTTCCCTTCTCTCCCCCCCCCCCCCCCACTCCTCTCCCGAAGCCTGCCTTTATCTGAAAGAAGAAAAAGGAACAGTTACATTTTGCATGCAAAGAAAACCAGTGTGGCTAGATTATTCCCTTGGGGTAATGAAGAAAGGAAAAAAGAAATTAAAAAAAAAAAAAAAAAAAAAAGGTCAGGTGAATAAAGCCGAAGGAATTCTTAGTGAAACTGGACCGATGCAAGCTACCTCACAGGTAACCTGGGTGGCTCGGCCCTCCCTTTCTATCTCTTCTGCCCTTGCTTGGTCCGGCTACATACACCTGAGCCAAGGATACCACAGCAGTAGTTTGTCTGTAAATATTTGATTCAAAGTGAGAGCTTATAAAAAATGGCCGGGATGATTACAGAAAGTCCTTCAATTTCTTCCTTAATCTTTTGAGGAGAAAGCCATCCCTCCAAACAACACCTGCCTTCTAGAAACATGAATCTCTCACGGTATTCATACGGCCAGCTCACCTCTTTTTCCCGGTCTATACCGACGGTGGTGAAGGTCTATGTAATGGAATCCCCTCTCATGAAACTGAGGGTTCGGGAGGGTTGGGGAGTCTTTTTTGCATTTCTCCCCCCCCCCCCCCCCTTGAAGCTTCTCTGCCCAGCTTGTCTCGGCACAGCCTGGTCTTTGCTGAACTGTGTTTGATGACCTCGCTGTCCCCTTCACGGTGCGTTTTGAATCTTCTGTCCTTACTAAAAGCCCCCAAATGTCCTTTTCTGAATCTCAAGGCCATGCCTATAATTCAGACCAGGTATCCTCTTACCTTTTGCAGCTGATGACTTTCCAACAGCATGTTTGAAAGTTAGTGGGATGTTTCAAAGTCAAACAATGGATTTGCATATTATAAGGGAGAATGTGTTCTCGAGGAGCTGAAGTAGATGATGAAATCCCTAATTATGATTTCTGCCAGTACCCCGCCTCCCTCAGGCCTTGGCAACCCTGTGGGTGGGTGAGAACAGGCACATGGGCTGGAGTGGGTGGCAACTGCCAGTCGTTGTGGGCTGAGGGAAGTTAATCCCGGAATCTCTCTTTCTAAGACGTGGCTCTTCTTGTAAGCCCAGCTTCACAGGGCAAGGAATGTGCTACAGGGTCTGGATGTTACCCTACCTCCGAGGATAGTCATGTGAGAGCCTGTGAGATGATTGGCATGGTATCAGTGGACATGGTGTACTGAGTGGACATGGGCAGAGTGTTGGAGTAGATGGGGCCAGCCAGAGGACACTTCAGGGTTGATGATCTCACGTGGGCTAGCAAACTCTAGGATCCCTGGCCATCAGTGCTGAAGTCTTTCAGGCCAGGAGTGGTCTTGGCTTTGTCAGTGGGGACTTTGTATCTGGCAGTGTGGGAAACAAGTTATGCTACCCTCCTCCCAGAAGCCATGACTGCTTGTCATGGGTAGCTCTATTGTTACTCTGAGGTAATTTAGATTGAATTTTGAGTCAAGTCTGGAGGTGTCAGTGTGTTTAATATTTGAGGCTGTGGGTATGTAGACTATGAATTGTTGCATGGCACACTACCCCCAATGCAGTGTTAGCATAATTATCTTTTAATTATATGCCATCAGTTTGTGGGTCAGAATTTTGAGCCAGTGTTCAGCTGGGCAATTTAACCAGAGTGACTTAGTGGTCTAGTGTGGACCAAAGGGTCCACGATGGGTTCACTTATGTGACTGGTGTCTTACATAACTCGATACGGACTTTGGACCATTTTCTTTCTTCAGGACCTCTCCACAGGTTCTCTCTAGCAGAACCATTGGGATTTTACAGAGTGCCTCACTCAGAATTTGGCCAGATCTCTTAAAGACTAGGCATAGAATTGGCATTGTGCCAACTCTATCATACTTCTGTGGTCAAATCCATCACAGGGCAGCCCAGAAAGTAACAAAACCAATGCTGTCTCCCAAGGAAAGGTGTGTCAAAGAATCTGTAGCTGCCTTTGACCTACGGGGTGGGAGTTGCATAAACACAGAACGTATGAGGATGGGCAAGAAGGCGAGACATTCCCTGCCTGTGCTGGTAGCCAAGGGTCAGTTTCCCCAGGGGAATGGGGGCGGGGCATGGGAGAGCTACTCTTCCTTCTCCTCCACCTGAGGACGCTGTTCCAAAGGAAGGTTTGGGAAGGTTTCTCATTTTCTCCACAGCTGTGCCAGTGACGAACCAAGCAACAGATTCTGCAGGCTTAAAAGCCTTTTAGATTCTTCTGTTTGTACAGAGCAGGACAAGGAAGAGCTAGAATTAGTTCCTTAAAATTCCGGTCGGACTACATTTAATTTCTTTTGTCGATAAGTTCTATATAATATACAGAGCACAGCAAACTTGGGAATAGAAATGTTGCTTCCTGACTGTAGCCAAGGAACGATACTGGCAGCCATTGGAAGGGACTTCTTTTCATCACTCATTTAATAAATCAACTTTTCTCCTCCCCTCCCCTCCCCTCCTGCCCCCTCCTTTTTTCTCCCCTCATCTCCCGAACCCCCCCATGTGTGAGAGCACACACACACACACATACATGGGCACACACACACACACACATGGGTATGCACGTGCCTGCTGAGTCCAGATACTGATGTCAATTTTCTTTCCTCTATCACTCTCCACCTAGTGTTTGGAGACAGCCTCTCTCCCAGAACCTGGAGCTTGTAACTTGGGCTGAACTGGCCGTCCAGCAGCTCTGGAGATCCACTCATCTGTGTCCCCCAGTGCTGCTCTCTACAAACATAGATGCATGCTACCATTCGCGGCTTTTACATTTGAGCTGGGAATCCAAACTCAGGTCCTCATGCACGAGCAGTAGATAGATACTTTATCTATAGGACCATCATCCCAATGCCTCAATTAATTTTTGAAAAGAGAATATACACATATAATATAAACTTTAGGAGAAAATAGGGCATGGAATAAAAATCTCTCTCATATTCTTATTCCCCAGTCTCCCAGATCCCTTTCTTTGGGCCAGACAATTCTTTTTTTTTGATATATCCTTCTGGTCAAATTCTGTACATATACAAATACTCTCTTTCTCTATGTATGCATATATATATATATATATGTATAAATATATAATTGCAGGACACAATTATGTAACTTTTCCCACACAAATAGATGCGTATTGTCTTCCCTTCTGTATCCTGCTTTTGCATCAAATAGTTTGTTAGAAGCTGTCTCAAACCAGTGAACATAGATTAACTTAGTTTTTTTTCCTGAAAGCTATATGGTATTCTGTTGCATGTGCAAATACAATCTTTTTTAAAAAAATCAGTTTTGTGTTATGGATGTTTTAGATTTGTTCCAATCTTTTGCTATTATAAGCAACATCACAATGCATAGTCTTGGGCATGCATATTTGTACATATGTGCAACTATATCTAGAAATGAAATGATGGGTTTGGGAGTAAAAGCATTGTAATTCTTCCAGCGATTACCAGCTGATCCTCCTTAGAGACTCCATTGCTTTCCATTTCTCTGCTCAGCTTTTGTTGCAGATACCGGGATTACTAATGGAGATGTGCTTTGAGGAAGTCATAGGTGAAAAAAGAAAGTTGCAATACTGAAGAAGGAAAGGATTGAATTTGCCTTTTTATATCAGCTTGCATTTTATGAGATTTCTAAGTACTTTACCAAAACTCCTGGCAAAGTAGACCAATGCCAGACATTCCTTGCTAAGGGGACGCATGCCACATGGAGAAATGAGAAGTCTGGACGCGGCGTAGAAAGAATCTGTTCTAGGCGAACATTGCCAGGACTCACTGTGGGATCCTGATTCAGCCCATTATCCTTTCCTTGACCTCGGTTTTCTTATTTGCCAGATGAGCAGAGAGATGATCTCCAAATTTATTTGATCTTTATCAAACTCCTTTTACTCTTTACCATACAACAGGAAGGATTGTATAGGAACAGCTACAGAATTTGTAAGTCCCTGTACAAAATGAAAATGTGAGGTCTCCATTTAGAAATTATTAAAAGTTTCACAGTGGCCACAGAAGAGCATTAGGACAGCTATTAGTCCTCCAAAGGGTGCGGGTCCTGTGCAACCTCCATGGTGATAGGTTCACGAGGCCAGCCCTGCTCCCATGGAGATTCTTTCTTCTAGTTCCTCCTAAGTATTTGGTAGTGGTTTGACAGCCATGCATCTGAGAAACTGTATTAGATGACTTATTGCTGTGACAAATACTCAGAGAACAATGTAAGGCAGGAAAGGTTTCCTTTTGGCTCACGGTTCAGAGGACTCAGTACGTGGTTGTTGGCTCCACTGTTGTGGCCTGTGTGAGGCAGAACATCATGGCAGCAACCACGTGTAGGGGAGCAGAGTTGCTCCCCTCATGGTGACCAGGAAACAGAGGGTCAGAGAGGAACTCAGGACAAGATGCAACTGGCAGAGACAAGTTTCCAGTGACCTACTTCTTCCGGTTAGGTACCATCTCTGAAATTTCCACCATCTCCTAGGATGCCGTCAAATTATGACTTCATGAGTAGATTTATCCACTGATTAGGAGAGCTCTCATGATTCGTTTATGTCTCAATGATTAGTCTTTTCACGGGGAGACACTTTGTAATAAATCATAACATACATAATAAGTCTGCCTAGGTCCACAGACCATTACCCTAACCTATAGCTTGTATACAAGGTGTTTGCTGTTTGGACTGTAGGTAGACACCTGACCTAGGGACAACCGGTTTGTAGGGTGGCAAAAAGATTTCAGGAAAGATTCTGATCAATGAGTGTGACATGATCACTCTGGCAAACAGACTTTCTCTGGAATTTGATCTGAAATCTATGGAGAGATTTAACCATCTAGATAGAGGGCTAGGGAGGGTAGAGTGGAGGGGAATAGGTGGGGAAAGGACATGGTGGGGAAAGGAGATGCCATACATGTGGTGATATGCACCTGAACGCCGAACCATTATTACTTGAGGTAGCTTAATTTACTTCTGTCCTTGGCAACCTAAATAGCATAATTAGCCCAGCATTATGCTAGGCCACCACTTCAGCCTGTTAATGATTAAGCCGTCTAGGGAGTGTGGATTAAGAACAATTAGAAATGGGAAAATAGCTCTAAGCCCTTCATCTTTCCCTTCATCTGCCAGCTACTGCGCTGGAATGAGCTGACTGAGTCCTGTTGGCCAGGTGGGGGTGACTGAAGTTCTGTGAATGGGATTCTTCCATTTTTTTTCTTGCTTTATTTATTCATGTGTTAGTCAACTTCATTATATATCCCTAGAGCTGTTTTTATCCCCTAACTTCCCTTACGTTATGCTTGGCATCTTGTTCTGCTTCCAGTGGGGTAGCCCCAGGAAAAGAATGTAGCTGTCAAATGTGTAGCAAGACACATATTTTCTTGGTGCATATCTTTTTCTTTCTGTTGGATTATGCTAATGGATCCCTGGAGTCTGCAGCAGGCTGAGGCAGGAGCTAGGCTAAATGAACTTGGCAGACCTTTTTCAGATTAGTCATGTTAAGGAAAGACTTCCAGATAGTTACTCTCCAGCAACTCACTATAAAATATATATAATCCTGGATACTTTCTCCTCTTCCTTCATGGTTCACTAGAGGCTGAATTTGTTGGTTTTCAGATGGGCAATCAACTAACTTGGTCAGGAATTCCATAGACTACACCCATTGTAATTTGTGTTCTAGGATGCATTAAAATCTGCAGTGTGGGGGTGCATTGTGTATAATGATTACACTGGTCAGGGTGGCCTGCTTAGACGAGGCATGCATAAAGCTGTATCATTTGAAATGGGTCCTGATCTGAATGTATCGCTCTGTTGCCCAAGTACTTGGAGAACATGGGCTAGGTCTCAGTGGCCATCCATCTTCATAAGTGCTTATGGGTAGGATGCAGTTTAACTGTATGGAGTAGATTAACCAAATAAA